GAGCTCTCGGGGGGGGGGGGGGGGGGGGAGTCAAACGGCAGCACCGGCGTCTCCGCTTCTTCTGCACAATGCCCGCATAGTAAACAAGACGGCTCCTCACGACGAGCATCGCCGCACACATCGAGTCTGAGGCCTCATTCTGCTGTCTGGGATGCGCAATTATCTAAAGCAGGACGGGCAGTGTCAGAAAGTATGCGGGGGTCTCGAGGCGCCATTGTTAAGCTGTCATTTGTATCCGACACAACATTGAACCATGTCAAACTAAATGTTGGTGTTGGTTCGAATGACCTGGGGCAAAACGTGTACGGGTACCCACTTTATCATCGCATTGATACTGTATCGATCATCTCTTTGACAGTCGGTCAATGTGATCTCAAAGCGATAGCTGGATGACTTTCCTCGTCTTCAAAAAGCGCGTTTGGCTTCAAAGTTTGGCCCGTTTCCATCCACGTGCCAAATAACACATTCGAGCTATATATAGACTCCTTCCACATAGTCACGGCTAAAAATAGAGCCAACGGGGAGGGGAGGAAAATGAATAAATGATTGTGTTTTCGTGTGCGAGACAGACGAGGGGGGAGGTGCGGGCGAGGGCCGTATTTGTTGTTTGAGTGAAGTGGAGCCAGAGAGGAGAAAATGGCAGAGAAGAAGAAGTGAAGGGAGTGGGTGTGACTGAGGTGCCCACGGGAGTCCATTGCAGGGGTGGGGGGTGTGCGGGGGGGCGGTGGAGGGGGGGGGGCACAGCTGCGGCAAGGCGGGCAAATGTTTCTACCGCCTCAGCCTGCATGTGATGAATGGCCTGCTGACACCACTGTTGTTGTTTTATTTTTTTTTTAATCTCAGTCGGTGGACGGCGGAGTCAGCGTAATGATCACAAGAATACGTAGTGACGGTCTCAGGACTTTTTGCCGTGACGGCACGGCGTCAGTTTATTCAAATACACGAATACTTCTTGTCAAACTGGACTGTCGGCTACACAGAAGGCCCATTTCTCTCAAATATTTTTCAGAATCTGAATCGGTGTGGTGCTTTGCCGACATGGTCCGTCCACCTGACGGGTGCGGCGTTGTTTCCGTCAACCTTTTGATGGCGTCGCACACGGTGCACGCTAGAAAGAAATCTCAGTGGACTTCTAAATGGTAAAGCGTTGGAGCGCTCTTTTGCCCTGTCGCTTTGAGTAACGTGACACCCCGTCGGCCTGGCAGCAGCCTCGTTCCTATCCGGTGCCTAAGAAGGCTTTGTTTTCCCTTCCGGTCACTGATTTCCATCCACATGCACAGCATGTATCCATCCCTCCATCCATTTTCTAATGCGCTTCTCCTCACGAGGGTTGCGGTCATGCTGGGGCCTCTCCCAGCTGTCTTGGGGCAGGAGTCGGGGCCCGCCCTGAACTGGCAGGGCACACATAGACAAACAAACGTTCCTGCTCACACTCACACCTGAGGACAATTCCGAGTGGCCAATCAACCTGCCATGCGTGTTTTTGGCATGCCGGCGGAAAGCGGAGTACCCGGAGAAAACCCACGGAGCCGTGGGGAGAACACGCAAACTCCACACGGGAAGGCCGGCGATCATTGCACCTCTGTGCTGCGAGGCCGACGCGCTAACCACTCGACTGCCGTGCTGGGGGGATTTATTTATAACTCTGTCGGTCTTTTGCTTTGCGCATCTGGGTTGGAGCTCAATAATTGCAGAGGTTCTGCAGGCAGCAATAAAGTGGGAGGGTGCCATTTGCAGAGGAAGCGCGGCCGCTGTCTTCAACTGGGTCGACACGGGCTGATTTTTAACATGTGAGAGACCCCACACGTGTTTACGGTTCTTCTAATGCGTGGGGGACTCCGAAGGAGCAACGCAAAATTGCTCGCCACCTTTCGCAATTGCCTTTGTGCCCGAACGGCTGAGCCGGCCGGCTCGCCTCTTGCCTATAGAAGTCAATTAGAAAAGCTTGCAGCCAGGAAGACAACAAAGTAGGTAGGTCAGGTTGGGAACGAAGGCGCAGACGTGTTGAGACATCACAGAAAGGAGACGGAGAAAGGAACGAGCAGAAACTAGGGCGGGGGTGTTGTTTAAAGCGGAGCCGTCGCAACTACCCGACGCCGGCTGGCGCCTGCCGAGATTCGTCCCGCGTCACGGCTTCGCGTCATCTTTCTCTTCCTCTGCGTCTCGCAGCCTCGCTTCCTGTGGCTCAGACGGCATCGCTGCTTTCCATGTCGGCAAGGTGAGGCCGCCCAACGATCGATTTCTTCACGGTGAACCCGTGACCCGTCCCCTGACTGCAGACAGTCCTACCGAGAGCGGCGGCCCGCTCTTCACGCCTCCTTCCAAATGAGTCCTGGAGTCTCGAGTTCGGCGTTTTGATGCAGCTCGTCAAATTTCCTGCCAAAATAATCTTCCTTCCTCTTCCACGTGATTTTGGTTTCACGAGCCTCGTCCTCGACCGTGCTGCCAGATCGTCGGTAGCCATCAATGAGTTTGGACTTTAAAGAAAGACCGCCCGCTTTAAGGGCGCCGATTCGTCACATCCTGAGTGAAGATGTGACCAAGATTGATTTGGTAGCATCCGGTCATCTTCAACTTTATTGTCTAAAACTGTGAAATGCGCGATTTGTTCTCCTTCCTGTCTGGGGACGGCAACAGATAATCAATCTGTGACGATTTGAACATGTGTGTGCTCGGCCTTTGATGATAGTGACAAAGTTTGTTGCGTTGAGATACGTTTGCGATCGTGGAGTGGACCGGATGGGAAAAGCCCCACAAAAAAGTACTTTACTATTCTCTGAAATGCGAAATACGACAGCAACGATTTGAAATGCCAACATTGACTGATGACCCGATGACCTTTGCCTCTCATCCTGCGAACATCTGTTTGAAGCCACAAACAGGCGTCCGATCGAAATGAGGTGTGACTCGGGACATGACGGCATGCCGGGAAGTGGAAGTGTGCAGATGCAACCAACATCACGCGGCACTTTGCCGTTTGACCGACGCTGAGTCAAGATGACAAAGCAACCTCCCGTGGCGTGACCGTCGCGTCGCAATAATACGCGAGGGGCACCCTCGGCGTCATGTGATGACGACGACAAAACCAAAACATCGACCTTTGACAGCATCGCGGGGATCACATGAATGACTGCGTTGACTTCCTCAAAAGAGGTTTTAAGATGCGGCGGTTGACTAAAATCACGAGAAAAAAAACAAACGTTGACATTTGACAAGTGCAATGAACAAAAACAAGGGATGGGGAAAAGGCCAGCAGTCAGGTTTTCTTAAAATCCTGTTGTTCGGTTATACATTCCATCCACATTTCTAGATGGCAAATGAAAGGCCTCATCGGTTGTTCAAGGCTTCAAATTAAAGGCCAGACGGCATTTTCCATCAACAAATTTTGCCCGAGGAGCTGAGAAGCGGGGCAGCCCAGTGATCCAGTGGTTAGCGCGTCGACCTCACAGTGCAGAGGACGTGGGTTCGATCCCGGCTCCGGCCTCCCTGTGTGGAATTTGCATGTTCTCCCCGGGCCTGTGTGGGTTTTCTCCGGGTACTCCGGTTTCCTCCCTCATTCCAAAAACATGCATGGAACACTCTAAATTGTCTCTAAATGTGAGTGTGAGCGCGGATGGTTCATCTGTGTGTGCCCTGCAATTGGCTGGCAACCGGTTCAGGGTGTCCCCCGCCCACTGCCCGAAGACAGCTGGGATAGGATAAAGCGGTTCAGAAAATGGATGGATGGATGGATGGAGCCAAGACGCACAAATCGGCGGCAATTTTTAAGTAAAAAACGCTCCAAATAGACTTTATCATCCCATATAAGCATTTGTCAGGTCCTGGCGTTGCAAAAGTCTCTCGAGCATGTCGGTTATTTCGACAGATGTTTTCATGACGACATCCTTTGTTGTAAGGAAGTGAAAACCGAAATCGCCTTGGTCAACGTTATAGCCACGGCGCCTGGCAATACTCTCGCTCTTCACGTGCACGACAAAGAATGTTGAACGCTTACTGAACGCCGTCACGGCCAGGATGAGGGTGACCACGATGGAGAGCCACGAGACCCAGAGTGCCTTCTTCCTGTAGTTCTGAGCTTCGTGAGGCTTCAGCCTCATGCTGCTCTCAAGGAGACCTGCAATTGCAAAACAATCCAATCAAATCAAATGCGGAGTCATTTTCAGGCTCAGGTCAAAAGTACGATGAAACAAAACCTTTCAGTTTACGCAAAAACTGACCTCCGTACAGTATATTGTATAAGAGTACAGTATTCCGTATTTGAGCAGACCTGCTGTTCGTGAAACAAGTTCACGTCAGCTAGCGACGGAAGCAAGGCCCTTGTTAACTAACATGGAGGAGCATTTTAACATGCAGCACCCAAATTCGAATTCCCCCCCTCGCGGTGGCCAGGTGCTTTTGATTCCTTTGCCTCAACCTCGCAGCTTTGACACAAACGAGCCTTTGCCTGAAGACAAAACCATCTCAGATTGTCCACCGCCCCGAGCACATCCGTCGTAGTGAAACATGAAACGACCTCTGCAGATTCATGCAGTATTCATGAGTCGGAACTTTTGCCCGGTAAACAGCATTTGCAGCTATTGCTCATTCCAACCAGCTGTGTTTCACATGGAATGTCATTGTCGCCTGTGGCCGGTTGAGGCAGACGGCGGGGTTGTTTATTTTCCTCTCGATGCGCCAGTAAGACAAATTTTTTTCATAATTTCGAATTGTGGTAGTTTGTCAATACCGTAAGCACGCTGCAATTGCTCGTGAACGGCATTTTTGCGTTTATTATTACAGTGGTTTCTGAAAGATATGAGTGACCTGGCTGCTAACGAAGAGCATCTATGTGGCACTGTTACAATGCTAAGACGCTGCCATCGACCATGCAGACATAGCATATTTTCTTTATCCTCTGTGAAGAGAAGCTGTTGGTCATTAAAAGTGAGTCATTAAAAGCAGTTTGTGCGCCTGCGTGATTTTATTATGCTGCCACCCGGTGGCCAAGTTACGCACACCAGAAGGAGCGACAATGAATTAATTCATGACACACAAAAAATTGAATTCTCAGAAAAATTCTGTTGAAGTCCACTGAATTTTTATGCTTTATTCAGAGTTCATTTCTGACTCGTAGAATTGCAAATTTTGAAATTAGGTCAATTCAAGATTATAAAATACATACTTGAATCATACCAAGTACAAAGTGAGCTTTCACAGCTCCGACGAATAATAAAAGTTCTTTTTGTTTCCTCATATTTGAGTCATTCGAACAGGCTGCCTCGGTTAAACGTCATGAAAAAGGTGCAACGTCTCCCTCGCAATCACCAACAGGAAATCAGCCTGACAGGTGGTAGCACAAATGAAGTTACAGGTAGCTTTGGGGATTGACTGAATAACAACACGGGGCCCACTTCTCTACGATGGAATGTTTAGTGCCACTAGCGCATACAATGAATGGGATTAGAAATGTCCAAACATCATACACATAATCTCTTTCATACACAAATACACAGAAAAGGATTTACTGCATGTGACTGCATGGTACCACAGTGGCTTGAAGGCACAAATGTCCGTGCAGCCTCAGGCTCTGTCTTGTGCAGCATGTTTATCATTAAAAAAAAAAAAAGTGTTATTCATGCATTCACAGGTTTTCCAGGCATTCAAAAATGTCAACGCTTCTTCAAATTAGAATGACAAGCCATAACCGATTCGAACCATTTTTCCTACTTTTTGAACATTTTCACATCTTCCACTGGAGGATTCACAAACTAATGATGACGTCTAACATGCTCCTTGTATTGAACAGAGGACCGGTATGACTTCAAAATGTTCATCCCCGATCAATAAAATGTATTTTGATTCCTCATTTTCCAAGAAAATTCCCAAATTAATGGAGAAATTCTACAAAATGTCCCTATTCATCTTTTTTTTCTCCATCTCTTATTTCATTCTACAGCATTTCAGTTCAGCGTCAGGCGGCGTACACCCTGGACTGGTCGCCAGCCAACATACTTCAGAGGCAAACCCAGTAAAACCCACATTCACTCCTACTTCGTGTTCCATGAACCTAACGGGCATTTTTCTAGTCTGAGAAAGCAGCCAACATCACCAGCAGGACAGACGCAAAACAGATTCAAACCCTGAACCAAGAGCTGCAACGCAGACATGCTAGCCACTAACACACCGTGCCCCCCACATATATTTGTCTTTGACCCTCTCAGATGAGGAAGCTACTCTTAAAATTCAGACTTATTCATTATTCAAATAACAACAGGCTAAAAAATCCTCCGCTCATTTCCCCAGGTAGGGGGGGTCGGGTGGGGAGCGTTTAAATCCCCCCAAAACTGGAGATGTGAAAGAGAGAGCTCGTGTACCTTCTCCCTCCACACTGTCGGTGATTTTCATCTCTTGGCCGGAGGTGAGCGCCTCATGCTGGACGGGGCTCTTGACGTGCTGTTGCTGGTTGTTGTGGTTGTGGTGGTTGTTGCCGAAGGCATCCGGGGCGCACTGGCCGTTCCGCACTGCGCCCGGAGTCGGATCCACTATGGTCATGTCCGGGACTTGGTAGGCCGGGTCTGTCATTGCTTTGCTGGCTTGCTTCGAGTTCTATTGTAGTTTGAGAGTGGAGCGGCAGCAGCGGCAGCACAGACGACGACTACGACGACGACGACGAGGAGGAGGGGGATGGATGCTTGAGAGCGCAGCAGACATCCACGCGCGAAGGGTATAACCACTCCAGTGCCGGCTCGATCGACGACGTGGGGCGGAGGAGGAGGGCTGTCAGAGATGGCGATGCGGTGTGAGATAACAAAAAAAAAAAAGAAAAAAGCAAAGAAAAAAAAAAGATCGATCCTCCAGGAGTGCAACTTGTGACCTGCACACTAAACAGGGGCGTGAATCGAAGCAGGCTAAGTGCGATCTAAGCAGGCGGGAGACAGTTCGGGGTGAGATGCAGCGATGCGATACGCGGCACAGTGCAGTGAGGCGGACGGGAGCCTCCTATCCCCCCCCCCCTCCCCCTTTTTCTACCCTTCGCTCAAGTTTGCATGAACCCCGCGCACCGACTAAAAGCCGCCAGTCGCGCAGCCGGACATGAATAAACCAACAAGCACCTTTTGAGAATGGATTGCTTTTGGTGAAGTTGATTTGTTCACAAAACTGGGAGTCGAATAAGATGCTTGGAATCCAGTTCCACATTTTTTGAATGGTAAACTAGAGTGTTTCATTGCCAGTGACGTCAACTATGTTTACGGACACAAAAAAAAAAAAAAATGAAGCCCCCAAATAAAAGAACATTCTTACAACTGGGAAACAAGGAGGAGGCTCGGTTATGTTCCGGCGTTGCTTTGCTCTATCCAGCATTGGGTGTTTTGGATATGTACAGGGTACGAAGAAATTACAAGACTATCAAGGCAACCTGGAGCAAAATGTGCACTCAGGAGTAGTTTCCCTCAAACCTGAGACAGATGGAAAAGTTCCAGCGATTGTGTGGCAGAATACTACCAACAATTATGCCCCCGTGTCAGCACTCTTTTTTTGATTGTCGGTCTTTTGGGCGAAACAGGATTGAAGCATCACAAAGGGTGTGTCTAATTTAGCTCTTCAATGCATGTCCAATTGTTGATAGCAGGCGTTCATCAGTTAATGGCTTCATATCCTGTTCTCACACAGTCAAAACTGTGTGGGACAGGCCAAAGCAGTCTCGTGAGAGCTGAAGCTGACACAATTGGCTTACACGCATTGGAACCGCAGACAGAGGAGGTGGTAAGTCCGGTCACAATCATCTTCATATTTACGTATCACTTGATCATGTGGCAGCCGAGGGACTGCGTGTTAACAAGAACCACCGCCCTGATGAAACAATGGGTGGAAAAAAAAATACGACGTTTACAACATCAGTGAATAAATGAATTTGCAAATGCCACTTGTGCTATTTCTTGCCCATGAAAGCTGCAATGGCGCAACAGTCATTTAAAAAACTGAATCAGTCACTTCTGCATTAAAAAAAAAGCCCATTCAGTCCATCGTATTGTCTTGTTTTATGGAATAGGAATCACACAAGCAGTCCATCGAGAAAACAACACGGTCGTAAGCTCGGTTAATAAATGACAGCAGCGGTCCTTTCACCTGCCGGTCATTGCTTTCCAACTGAGGGTGGGGACTGATTTTGCCGGACTTCCTCCCTGTTATTACATTGGCGGTGCGGCCAACAGACCTCCACATGTCCAAAAGGATGAAGGTTGATATACATAATCATATTTTACCCAAGGAATGGCCCGATTTGAAGAAGGTAGGAGGGACAACGGCATATTCACGGGACGCACATTTGAATGAACTTGTTGCGATCCACGCAGTCCGCGAAGCCAGATTTTCTTTGACTCAATCACAAACGTACATGTACTGTATTTGTGTTTTATTTTATAATTGCCATTAAAAAGCCCCAGACGATTGCCGTTTGTGTTCAACGGGACAGCGCTCGCCAGACGTCGGCAGCGTCGTCTGCGAATACGCTAAACCGTAATCGATAACTAGCCGTGCTTGGCATTCGTTAATGTTTGGCCAACTTTATTGCTGGAGGAGATAACTTCTTTTTTTTTCTTTTTGTGTCTCTTTAGGCTTTACAGTGTACAATAAGGCTCACAGCCTCTTGCCATTACAACCAATCAGACACGAATCCTAAATTGATCGAAAACGCTCACATGGATCCAATCTCGATTTAGCTGGACTGTAATGTTGAAAATGTACACCTTGGCACAAATGAGTCGAAACTTGTATTTCGATCTACGGTACTGTAATTCGTTTCTCAGTCCAAAATCATGCAACGGACTTGAGGCTGTTCCACATGAGGGAACCCATGTAGCGCAAAAAGATTTCACATTTCATCGATCGACTTCTCTGAGATCCACTGTGATGTGGCCCTTGTGTGTTTCAGAGGTACGGCTACGATGGCTTCGTCCAGCTTCAGCATCACTGCAAGGTGAGTCGAGCGCGGCGTGAATTGTCTTGCAATCACATTCGGCTGCAACCCAGCAGAACCTGAGGCGGCTCTCGCGTGCACAAGATGGATGAGTTTGGGTCTCACCCTTGCCTGCAAATGCCGGGAAGGAAGGCAGCGTGCTCATTTTCATATCTCAAGGGGAAATCCGTTGTATGTTTGTGCTGCAAACTGCACACGGGCGTGCTGGTCTGACACCCTTTTGGGTCATCAGCACTTCGCTGTCTGAATTCGGCGTCTGGAGCAAAAGGTTCATTGGCCGTCTGCTGCCATCGTGTGGCTGTTAGGCAGCCGACACGGGTTCAACTTGTTTGTTGATTCCCATGAACGCAGCTGACGCCGACGGTCGCAGAAGGGGAACTTCGGTCCTCATTGGCCGGTAACCTGGTCCCAAAAGGATCGGCTCACCGACGAGCTCTGCAGAAGCCTGATCATGATCCTTATTATTTAAATCAAGTGTGATGGAGGAAGAAGACATCTAAAAAAAAAAAAAAAAGGAGGAAGGACCGGAGTTGGTGACCCCTGATTTAGTGGAAAATCTGAGGTTTGCCCACAGAGGACGTCAAAGCTGGCTTTCTTTTCCGGTCATTTTCAAGTCATCACAAAGCCCAACTCTCGACCAAATGGGACATATGACGGAAAGATATTTTTTCAATGTGAAAATATAAAGAGCACATTGGTATCACTTGAGAATTGCAACTGTGTTTCAGGGTGAGGCAAATATGATGAAGGACGGGAAGCTGTTTCGTGTGGTCCAAGAGAACTGCTGGGACGCAGACGCACGGATACGAGACATGGATCGACATGGTAATGGAGGCTGCCTCCTGCGGCACGTCAGTCCACGGGCACAAAACGCGTGAGTGAACTCAAGGGGACTTTTTGATGATGGCAATTTTCAGGTGTGACGGTTCAAGCCCTTTCCACTGTTCCCGTCATGTTCAGCTACTGGGTAAGATGCACCCGCACCTTTTTTTCTTCATCCCTTTGGGACACCAACAGTCTGGCTAATATCAGGGGTCAGCGACTCTGGTCCTTGAGGCCCCCCTATCCTAATGCTTGACACGTTTCCAGTCCTCCAACATGCCTTTTATCTATTCGTCAAAATCGTTACCAGCTTTCTACTAAGCGTGCCGATGAGCTGATCATTTGAATCAAGTGTGTCGGGGGAGGGGAAACATCTCAAACGTGCAAGGTAGGGACCCTCGAGGACCGGCGTCGGTGACCCCCGACTTCTAGGAACTAATTGGGCTGTTTCATTTTCAGGCCAAGCCGCACGACACCCTGGACCTTTGTGTCCTCTTGAATGACAATTTGGCCCAAACGGTGCGCAGCCACCCCAAAAGGTTTGTGGGCTTGGCAACGCTGCCCATGCAAGCGCCCGACCTGGCCGTGCTGGAGATGCGGCGCTGCGTCAGGGAACTGGGTTTCCCCGGCGTGCAGATCGGCTCACATATCAACCACTGGAACCTCGACGCGGCTGACTTGGATCCCTTCTATGCTGTAAGAATTTTGCTTACTGGCGGGCGTCCCGGTAGAAGCTTTGCGATCGTGTTTGTAGATGAGACCACATTTGCCCCCCCCCCACGTTCCATCGCTTCACAACCTTCTTGGAGGTCACGTGTTTGCTCATTAACAAATCCAAATGCTGCATTCTATTTCCCACGCAGGAAGCCGAAGAGCTGAATTGCTCCATTTTTGTGCACCCGTGGGACATGCAGACGGATGGGAGGATGGCTAAGTATTGGCTGCCCTGGCTGGTGGGTGAGGGAGATGGAGTACAAATAGGATATAGTGGATATTGCGTCCAGCTCGAGTAAATCAACGCATGCGTGTGTGTGTGTATGTGCACGGGTGTGTCTAAAATCACACATCCGAGATCCAAATGAATGATTCATTCAAAATCATGAAAAAAGGTGGCGTAATGAGTGCCCGCTTAACATGCGCTTGTAATATTGTAGTGGAAAACTGAAAGGATCAAATTTAAGCTCTATTTTACACTGAAATAGGACATGAGAATGTGCATTAAGTGATGGAGACATCATTTTGCTACTGTTTAAATCGAGAGCTGCATTTGTCCAATCCATGAATAGGAAATTTGCACTGCATTTATTGCGAAATGCCACCAATTTGGACTTCCGTATTTCTCGTATCCACCAAAAAGGCATGCCGACAGAGACAACGATGGCTATTTGCTCAATGATTTTTGGAGGCGTCTTTGAGAGATTTCCGAAACTGAAAGTCTGCTTCGCTCACGGAGGTAAATAAGACGTTTCATAAGTGAGCGGCCACGCTTTCTCAACGACAATAAAAATGTATTCCTCATTGTTTGAACAGGAGGCTCCTTCCCTTTCTCGATTGGTAGAATTGAACACGGCCATAAAGTTCGGCCTGACTTGTGCGCTGTGGACAACAAGTGCAATCCCCGGAAATACCTGGGATCTTTTTACACCGACTCCCTGGTTCACGACCCCGTCTCCCTCAAGTTGCTGACTGACGTCATCGGAAAAGTAAGCCGCATGCCGTGCCTTGTGCCAGAAAAGACCCCCTGCACTGTGACGGGACAGCGTGGGGGATTGGAGCTTGACCTGCTTTCTTTCTCAGGATAAAGTCATGCTTGGAACGGATTACCCATTCCCACTGGGCGAGCTCCAACCTGGATCTCTGATTGAGTCGATGACAGAATTTGATGAGACACTGAAGGTAGTTATCATGTTTGACAATGTACCTTAAGGCGGCTCCATTTGCTGCGTCTGCTGGGTTACTGCGCGTTTTTGTCACCAACAACTGTCTTTTTGTTTTACAGGACAAGTTACTAGCTGGGAATGCCCTGGAGTTTCTGGGCCTCAAAAAAGAAACATTTGAGTCACAAGGAGAGTGACTCCAAGCTTTGACGGAGTTCAAATCTCGTGGTCATAGTTGATTCAGACTCTGTTGTTGTTGATGGTTGCTTTTTTAGCAGTGATTTTAATTATTCCATTTCAGAAATTTGAAATTCAATAAGTGAGAAAAGAAACAACTAGACAAGAATATGTTTGGGCGAAATGGAATACGTTACAGTTTCTTAAGCAGACTTTGTAATGCAGCCAACACAATCAAAACGTATGATGTGCTGGGTTGTTTTATTGCAAAAATTCCAACATTAATCATACCAATTTTTGTGAACTGTGCATGAGCTACAAAAATTTCAATGATCAATAAAACACTTAACAAAACATGTATTTGTGTGTGTATATATATATATATATATATATGTGCAGACACACACTAACTTTTAAATCAATGGATTCAATTAAAAAGTAAAGGCAGGTCTGATGGTGGTTTTGTGCTTCTTGGGGTTTGTTGCCTGATGCATTAATGTGAGAATAAAGGCAACTTGGGACAGTTTTTGCAAGTTACTTGAAAGTGACCTGATCAGTTTAAAATTGAGAGTAAATAGAGGTGTGGTGAAATTTTATGATAAATCAAATGAAACATATGAAAAAGTGAATTATATTTGAGTCGTTCATTTCAGAAAGTGTCCATCAAAATGTATAGGCCATTTCAGCATGATGTCATACCTTCCTTGTGGCCAAAAGTGAGCTTTCTCTGATGACACCACCATGGTAAACAAACCCCTTTATGTCATTTGATCAAGGTAGGGTAAGGTCATTGAGAAAACAGGAGAAACGGCTTGAAAGATGACTTCATTAGTCTTCTTTACTGCTCGAGTTTGAATATGCGAAATAACAGTTGAAAAGAAGATGTGACATTAGTCAATTGCTTCAGAATGGCGGCCGTAATTTATATTGCAACAAGTAAGTGGATTCAAAAATTGACCAAATTGAAATTCAAACGTAGTGCATTTTCATTGAGGGACTGGCTGACTAAATTACCATTCCGTTGGTCTAATTAATGTGAGAGAATAAGGAATGCTCTTTTGTCAGTGAAACGGAGAGTGTGCCGTAGCGATAATGTTCGCTCGCAAGCTAGCAATTAAGTAGTCTAAATTGTTTTAAATTAAGTTATTCAAAGCCACCCCAGCCAAACATTTTATACATACCTCGGAAAGAGCCTTCCACAAACTTGATGATGGAGGTCTGGATCCGATATCACCACGTGGCCTTGCTTTTTAGCCTTCATTTTAGGACATTAATAAATATCGGAACGTTGTAAGCATTCCTGGTATGAACTTGTTTGTATCAAGCAAACAACAAAAAGCGAAACAACACAACCACCCGGATCTCACCCTCGAAAGGCGTCTATATCAGTGTTATTGTTTCCTAATTGTTTAGCCTGGTTGTCTTTGCTTAACCCCTCAGTATGTAAATAAAGTCGATTTCAATGTACCTGTATTTCATTCTCATTCGATTTGAAATGATTTTCCGCGGTTTCCGGTCGTCCGCCGACGTCATCTCCGCGTTCTCCGTGACTGTCGAAGAGCAATGGCGGCGAGCCGGGGATCTTCTTCGAGATGGGTTTTCAGCCGGGAGCAGCTCGAAAGCACGCCGTCTCGCCGATGCGGAGTAGAACCGGACCGAGAGCTGTCTTACCGGCAACAAGCGGCGAATCTGATCCAAGACATGGGACAGAGACTCAATGTGTATCCTTCGTAAACAAACCGCTTCTGAGGCCAGACGCGGAAGCTAATGTACGATCCGATCGGAACCCCGGTGCGGATCTGACGTCTTTGTTTTTGCACAGTTGAAGAGGGATGACTTAGTTTGAAGCGCGTTACGTAAATGGTTGGCTTTCCTTCGCAGCTAAGCCGACGGGAACGCGATGTGCTTAGCCGCGGCTGGCATGTAGCATGCTAACTCGCTAGCTGAAGGTTCGCGTTGATAAAAAGCAGGCCGTCGATCGTGTTTGGGGCTGTGTCAACTTAGTCAGCCACCTGTTCGCTAAAACCTGCCCCGGGGTTGCTCTTAATCCCGACGGAGAAGGACGCCCGAGATATGTGTTCGTCGCGCCTCACAGACCGACTGATATATCTGTGCACGAAGCGCCGTTTGCGCAACACTGAGGAATTTGGGCCGTGCCTAGAGCGGCTCTGCGGTTCCGACATAAGCACGTACGTGGTAGAGGCGACGCTCACTTACCGTCGCACTCATTGGTTAGCACATCTGCCTTACAGTCAAAAAAATGTGTCAACGAAACCGGCCTCAAATTATACAAAGAAATATAGACACTTGCTGCACTTACACGAATAGTACTCCAGCTTCTACCCAAATTTCCAGGTTAATGGACAACTTTAAACTGTGAACTGTAGTTTTATTTAAAATGCATGGGCAGGATGTTGAAGCCTAGAAATGTTTTTCAGGCAGTTTTTTTGTGTGTTCGTGTAGGTTAGTGACCGCAAGTTTAGACAAAAAAAAATTGTTGCCTTCGGATCTGAATTCCATTTTGAGCTGAAGACCTTTGGTACTTGTTTTTACCGGGACTGAAAAGAGATGATAAGTGAGCCAACAATGCAAATCTTTCCCTTGACGCACATTCCAGCTCTCAACTAACTATAAATACAGCAATTGTTTACATGCATAGATTTTACATGCACCACTCGTTCACCAAATTTCACAGGAATGTAAGTCCTATTGTCTTTTTCAACATTGATTTCATTGTTCCCCCTTTTTTTTAACCCATCGTTACTTGAAGACAGATATTCTAATATGTTTTGTTATTTCCATGACAGACAATATCTCCTACGACGCTATTTTTGGCTGCCAAAGTGGAAGAGCAGCCACGGAAACTGGAATATGTGATTAAAGTTGCGCACGCCTGCTTAAACCCGCAAGAATCGCCTCTTGACACTAAGAGTAATGTAAGTTAGGGGCTCACTCTGTCAAGTATGGTGTCAAGTTTTTTGGGGTTTTTCTCCCCTTCTCTTTTTTTTCTTTTCATGTTCCTTTCCGTATGTCACCTTTCCAGCCACCCATTGGCCACGGTTTCCCAATGTATAAGGCCGCGCCACTCCCCGTCGTCGGGGTCATTTTCGCTGTTGGCACGGTCCAAGCAGCTCCACGCGCTTAGGTTAAATAGCGTAATGGCCTCTCTGGTTTCAGCTTTGGTCATTTCAACTCAGCTGTTAGGTGAGATCATAGACTCATTACAATTGTTATGTAATGACTGTCTATCAAACTTCAGGCCTACCTCCAGCAAGCTCAAGAGCTGGTGATACTTGAATCCATAGTGCTGCAGACGCTTGGTAAGTAGTGGTGACCCGAGTGGATGATATGAGAGCGAGCGAGAGAGCGAGCACTACAGAATGTGTATCGTATACAATATTGGCTTACCACACCTGAGGGTTTCCTGTTAGTCCGTTTCTTTGTCAACTCAACATCGTCCGTTTGTTGTACTTTTGACTTGATGGATTGGCATTCAGGTGACATGTCATTCTTTTTTCAGTTCGCTCTCAGAGTGGCTTTCTCGGACGTCCAATTAAAGGGGACATAGGATGCGTTTTTTTTTTTTTTTTTTTTCCTAAACATAATTTCATTTCTCAAGTGTCTTTAGCAAAAGGTCTCTGATGATGTTTGTTGAAAACGCGGCTCATCAACCAGCCTGACCGTTAAAAATGTCAGAGGAGTAATTGTGTTGAGGAGGGACAATGTACATCGGCAGGTCGTCGATTCGGCAAAATTCCGAAGGGCTCGCTCATATCTGCGTTTTGGGAAATGTCTCTCAAAAGATCGACTTGGTTGCGTCATTCTTCAGAGACCCAACGACTGTACGATATTATTATGTAAAAAGCCATTCCAAAATCCATTTTCCATTGTGTGTCCCCTTTAAATCTGGGCGCTGGATTAATCGGTTTACTTCACCAAATTATTGACAGCCCCCAAAACCAAAATCCTCTGTCCCACTTCAACCCTCACTTGCCATTGTTTGCGCAGTCGGAATAACGGCGAGAGAAAAATGACACGTTACCTCCCAGCTGTCTGTGTTGAACTCACCTGTCATGTATTTTGTTCCAGGCTTTGAAATTACTATTGATCACCCACACACTGATGTGGTGAAATGTTCCCAGCTAGTGCGAGGTAGAGGCTTCTTTCTTTGCTTTTTGTGCCCTCTGCTCTTGTCCATGCCCTCCCCTTAAAATAGGCGCGCGGACCCGTGACAGCTCGATGACTTGATTGTACACCCGCTCACCTTGGAATACATTTTGACTTTGTTGGCTGATGATTGGACGCTCGAGACACACGCGAGGCCAAGTCCAAGACCGAATTGGAAGCATTTGCGCTCATGTCACAGTGATACTTTGTGTGACAGTGTCTGAGACGTCAACATTGGTCACTTGCTTGAATCTTCATGAATATAACTCAGATCACGCTGATACAGGATGTCGCAGTGGTCGCCGTACTCTTCCGTTTTTCTATTTTATTTTCAGGCATCATTTGGCCTGCCTTAGGCTTTTGGGTCTTTGTAAGAATGGCCTCCCCTTGCCCCCGCCTGGCCAGTTAACGGTGAAACAATGTTGCAGAATGTGGCAGCAAGTTTTCCGCCTCGGACTGCAGCTCAGTGCCTGTTTGAGGAGCTTTTTGGCTGTCGCGCTTCTCCGTAGTACGATTTACGCTATCCGTGGCAAGTTTCTCGAAACAGGATTTATTTTTGTTTGGGTTTTTTTTTAACCCCGGCACATGTTGCCCAGTTGTAAAAATCAGCCCGGCGTCAACCTTGTGCCACTCACAAGAAAGTGTCAGCGCAACCAAATTATAATTTGTGCTTCTTTTCAGTTTTGGTCTTGGCCGAATGCGTTTCAGTGGGCGTTAAAGCACAAAGTAAAAAACCCGACGTGTGATTTCCTCGCAAATCAAAAGAACGCAGACGGCACAAAAGCAAACGCTTTCCTGTTGTTGTTTTTGGAGCTTACGAAATTGTAACGGCTTTCCCCTGTCATGTGGTTTGTCTTTGTGTCTCCCACAGCGAGCAAGGATCTGGCACAGACTTCTTATTTCATGGCTACCAACAGGTTGTTATCCTGCCCCTCCTTTGTTGCACTTTGACTGCACACCGTTGCTTCCCGTAATGCAGGGTACCCTTTCAGTGTCCAACGGGCCCTCCTTGCGACGGTGGCTGTTGGGATGCCGGCCTGCGGCCCGCCGCCGCCCTCCCTCCTGCAAAAGGGGGAGGGCGGGACGGGGGCTGCTGGCTTGTGGCGTTCCCGGCCCCGGCCGCGGTGCGGTGTATTGTACAAGGGACCATGTGTTGGCACCGATGGGTTGAATGCAAGATGCGAAGTGTAGTGGTGCGCTTGAAACGCCACATGTTTGTTCGGTTGCGAAAAAGTGCAGAGTTCGAAAAGACACTTTGGTAGCCTGAATAGCCGCGAAAGATTTCACAGATGTAAACATTTCTCATAGAGGCCCTTCCGGTAAGTACCGCAAAATCATTTTTTCCAATTCTCCTCTTCATATTCATGTTCTGCATACGTTGACATATGATTCTCTGTCAATGCACATATTTCCTTCTACCTGTTTTGCACCCCCCCCAAAAAGAAATCATCAAACTAAGTTGAATCTTACCCATTAACGACCTGCGTGCTAAGGCTAGAATTTTGATGACCAAATTTGGAGGATGTGTGAAATGTTTTGGGTGACCACCATTGTTGCTTTTCAAGCTTGATTCGAAATGAATTTGAAAGTGGGTCCTTAAAGGGTTTGTTGAAATATGTCTCATGATTGGGAGATCTTTACATGAATCCATTTTTCTCCCCCAACTGAGCTAATACACCTTCTTCTAGGCAGTTTTCTGAGATGATTTTTTTTGCTTTGCTAATGCGAAGCCAAACGTAACTCAAAGGCACTTTTTTTTTCCAGCTGTGATCAATTTAGCCTTGATAGGGACAACTTGTCAGATCTCATACTGGATTGTTTGTTCTAACTGGGCTGTTCAAGTGAGCCCAACCTTCACTAAGTTGCCCGTATAGAGATGAACGACCTCCTTAGACTTAGCATTTGATTTTCCAAGTGTGGTTCATGCGGTCCAAGTCCAGGCTTTTGGACAGGCTAAGAAATCGAAACAATGATTGGCATCATAGCCGTCGCCATTTGTTGCCATGAATATATTTTAGATGTGGTTTTCTATGGCGACGGAAATAAAATTGTACGACAGAGGGTGTCCGTTGCATATTTCCAGCAGTGAATTCATGGTTAACCGATGCCCACGGCCATTTCTATTCCTCAGCCGATAGTCCAGTTCCTCCTCATTTCTTAAATTGCTAGACATGTCTTGTTTTACTGTTACTTATTTTTGTAATATGAACTCATCCAGTTTAAAACACTTTTTTTCCAGCTTTTTCTCATGTTTCTAAAAACAATGAATTAAACCCATTTGTGCCTTCTGTCCTCCTCTTTTGTTCACATGTGGGACCAATCCTGACCACGGCTGGAACGCCTCAATGCACTCATTCACGTCACATATGCATACACACACTCTCTCTCTCTCTCTCTCTCTCTCACACACACACTCTCTCTCACACTCTCTTTGTCCACGGGCATACATTCACACCCAACAGTCTACACCTCACTACATTCTGCCTCCAGTACAAGCCCACAGTGATTGCCTGTGTGTGTATTCACCTGGCGTGCAAGTGGTCCAACTGGGAGATCCCGGTGTCGACCGATGGCAAACACTGGTGGGTGTACGTGGACAGCTCCGTTACGCTTGAGCTGCTCGATGGTAAGACAAGGCGCTCGTGCACTTGCTTGCTCGTAACTGCCGCCGGAAAGAGGACCCAAGTAATGCAACTCTCTTCTGCTTGCCAGAGTTGACGCATGAGTTCCTGCAGATTTTGGAAAAGACGCCCAGCCGGTTAAAGAGAATACGCAACTGGAGAGTAAGACAAATCGCGTGTCTCTTCAATGCATCAAAGTGATCAATTTGGCACACATGCTGCGTGGGCAATACTGTGGATGACACCAGGAATACATAACATACCTTCCAGTGGTTCCGTATCTGAAAAAAATTTTCCCAACTGAAATGAACTCAAATGCTTCCGGAAAAAAAAACAACACATTTGAAACATGATATTCAAATAGTATGTGAAGAATTCCAGCTTTTGCAAGTTTCCGCCCTCCCCCTCCAATTTGGTGGATATCGGGCTGCTCCTTCTGGTGTGCACGACAATAGCTCATCAGTTGAATTTATGCCGCAACATGAGCCATTTTCTCATGGTTTTTGTGATGAGAACCAAAAGTTCTTACATCAATCAGCATTGTCCTGCCAAAAAGTTTTCTTAAGCATTCCGTGTTTACGTTTCTAAGTCACATCATACATTGAGATGAAGAAGAAGTGGATGAAAACAAGGTGGCCTAATAATTTTGTCCATGACTGTACATGATGGTCACGTTTGCCCAGTAAGCCACTGAAGCAGAAGTTCACAGAGGATAAAGAATATTTTCGGATTTTCTGATTCGGATAGTAGCATAGTAACCATGTTTTCCCTACATCGCAGGCAACCCAAGCTGCTAAGAAGCCCAAATGTGAGAGCAGCCAACTGACAGATTCCTCCATCGCCGGACCTTCGATGCTCCAAGACCATTCCCTGCTGGACGGCTCCCTTGTTGGAGTGCCCCGCTCGAGTTTTTCCAAAGCGGGTGGCGCCTTCGTGTCGATTTCTGCTCAGTCTGGAGGCGCGCCACTGTCTCTGAACTCCCTGGCTGGCCCTTACAACCCGCCCAGCCACAGTGAGTGGCCCCAGACCAACCTGAGTCAAGCGGGGTATTCTTCCAGCTGTATAAAACCGGAACCCCTCAGCACCTCTCACCAAGATCAGACACTGTCCTTGCAGGCGTCCGCTTCCACTTTGCATCCGCCTCCGTTAGCGATCAAGACCGAGAAAACCGCCGATGTTAACATCAAACAGGAACTCAAAGGAGCGTGCGCAAGCGGAGCCGGCAAGCATCAGCCGCCAACTTCATCATCTTATCTGCCGGCGCCGCAACACTCCTCTGCCCCCAAATTGTCGCTGGACAAATACAGAGAAAAACACGGCGCGGACGTCGCCGCCTCCGGGCAGAAAAGCCGACAGGAGCAGCAGCAGCCCGCGCTCACAGAGAACAACATGAGAGGGGATCCGTCGTCTTCCTCAAACTATGCACCGCCGTCTTTGAGCCAAGTCGATCACAGGAAGTATTCACAGACGCATCAAATGTCCCAAAGTGCCCATCATTTAGGTAGCGGGAGCAACACCTGCACTGCCTCGCCCATGAAGAATCGAGTTGCTTGCGCGGCGTCGGGGCAGGACAGGCGCCATCACGGTGACAAATGGGACAAAAGTTCCCTCAACCTCCACCTGGCAATTCCTGCCACTGGAGGAAGCTCCCAGCTGGACAGAAGCAAGGAGGAGCTCAAGATGAAAATCAAGGTTTCCTCCTCAGCAGAGCGCCACAGTTCATCGGACGAAGGCGGCGGTGGCACCGCCACCAACAACAGGAGTAAACATTCCAGTCCGCTCGTGAGCAAGGACAAAGCGCACCGAGGCGCAGATCACCGCTCTCACAAATACAGTCACCACAGCCAACACGCTCACAGCGGCAACGGACAAGGGGCCTCCGACGGCCTGTTCCGAGGTCCCCCGGGACTGCTCACGCTCGAAGGACTCGCGCTTCCTCATAGCGGATCTGCGTCTTTGACTTTGTCGTCGTCCCGAAAGAGGGCGCACTCCGAGGCCAACCACAACCAGCACCCTTCCTCCTCCTCCTCCTCCTCGTCCGCTTCTTCTTGCTCCAAACCAGGCAAACTCTCCAAGGGCGGCACTGGTGCTGCAGGTACTTGTTGCCCGCTTTCTCCTCCTCGCTCCTCTCCTCTAGCGCAGTGTGTCGCGTCTAGCTTTGCGGCGCTCTGGCTAACCTCCGCCTCCTCCTCCTGTTGCACTCAGGTGGGCTGCGGACCTCTCAGCAGTACCTCCCTCCTAGCGGGTCGCCCCGTGAAGTGGGAGACCAGAGACACTGAAGCCAAGCCTTCTGCAGCCATGCTTCCATCACATGGGAACTGCAAGAAACGACTCACAGTTCACACTACTATGCGCATCCCCCGATTAAGTGCCCTAGGCGCAAACCTGGGGGATTAAATACCCTTTATCCAATACCGAATGGCAGAACATTGTCAAAAGAAAAAAAAAGAATATATGTGGGCTTGCGATAGAAGAAGAAAAAACAAACAAGCGGAACATAAAGCCTCCGTACTCTGACCTCTGGGCTGTGATTGCCAGTCCCATCGTTCTCCCTGGTGTCGAATTGCTGCTGGTCTCTCCTTCCTGAAATGCGCTCAAGCGCACGCAGAGGTTGCGTGCGTGCGTGGGCGGCAGGTGGAAGTGTGTATTTACATTGACGGGACGCACCTCCCCCCACCCCCCTGCATTTCACATCTCCGTATAGGAAAACAAAAGTATTACAAGTTCCGTCGAAGGCGTGGACGAGGCGCCTTCCTCATTTTGTTCCTCTCGCTTTTCTATTTAAGTAAGTGTTATGCAATTTTAAGCGGCACGCCAACGGCCAGCCGGAGAGGAGTTGAACTTCTGTTGGTTGTCATTCCTCATTGCAATATCGATGGACGCGTTTTGTTTCAGTGTCGTTTCATTTCCCCTGGAACTTTGATTTGTTTTTCTACGCTCGAGTACCGTTTTGAGTTGCAAGTTTTTCCATCAAAGGGATGCTCGACATTCACAGCCAGTGGAGACAAATGTACATACGTTTTTGTATGTTTAGACAATTATAACGTGACTACTCAGGTTTGGAGCGACTTGTAATTATGACAATATAATTGTTAAAACATCTCTCTCAAAAAAGAAAAGCTCCATTGATAACCGATTGGTTAGCATTGGGAAGATGCAGTGTTCAAGAGGCATGTGCTTTTTACCGTATTATCCAAACGATAAAAGAAAAGCAGAAAGCAAACAAAAAGACAATTGTAGTGTGCCATGGAAATCTGTACTGTATAATCTCCTTTTGAAGTGCATCACACCTTATTAATGGGGCACCGAAGCCTTTGACTTGCCGGCCACGTTTACTCAACAGTACTATCTAGAAGAAAATCAGTTGTGAAATGCGCTCTTGTGTTTTTCTTGCCTTTTTTTTTTTTTTTTTAATCTCTTTCCCCTCCCCTCTGGGCAAATTTGGTAGAGTTGTCGTCCTTGATCCATTTGGTCCATTTGCAATAACCGTTGTCTCCGCATCAGTTGTTGACATTAAACTCTCTTCCTGAAATCTTGCCATGAAAACCGGGCGACTCTTCTGTCAGCTTGATTCTCCTCCAACCTCTTGAAGATGAATTTTGAAAAACGAGACTTATATTCAAGTCACTAAACGTTGGATTACCGCGTCCGCAATGAATTGGGGTGGTGCCACGCCGTCTTGTATTTGAACAGCAATTTTGGAAAAGTGTGAGGAAGAAGCACATGAGCTCGAACCCACAAACAGGAGAATTTTACTCCGTTTGTCTTGTGGTTGATCCAAAATCGAATCAACCCTCTGTGAAACTCGACCACAGACCCGAATTGTCATGACTGGCACCAAGTGATTTGTACAAAGTCAACCGGATTTTGCGGTTTTCGTAAAAGTGCTCCGCTTGTACGTTTCCGCTCTTCCGAACGCTCAAAGCATAATTCCAACGCAGTCTTCTAACACGAGCTGGCAAAACACGCCCTCGAATTGAGCTTTTGTAAGAACTTGTTACCTCCAGAGTCCATCTGGGTGACCACCGACGCTCTTTTTCTGAGCTGTACAAGAAGTCGCCCCGGTCCTGCTCCTTGGGATGAATGAATGTCGGAGCGGTTGGTCTGCAGATGGCCGCAGTCTTTGGTCACTAAAGGAAATACGATTCAGGTATCGGAAATTCACGTCACGCTTTCCATCAAATGTCATCTGCTTGGAGAGGGGCCATTTCTCACCTCGTCAAGCAACCTCTTTGGCGCCCTGTGAGAATCCCTCCGGCAAAGATGGCATCGCTCTTCTTTTGGCCCCGATGTACAACAAGGCCGCTATCTCGATCGAAGTACAAAGTCGGCTCAAAGTTCCAGGAGTGCCTTTCTTAAAAAAAAAGTATTGATGGGAAATCCAACTGTAGGGATCGATACGGCCACTAGATGGCGGTAACAGACAATGCAAATTAATGGAATCATGCATGCACCTGCCTTAAACCAGCCAACATCGAAACCTACCAATAAACCAACATTAACTTCGTCCCTAAACTACACCCTAAGTAGTTTGGCACCAACACTTGACTTTTTTTCCTTGTATTTATTCGATTTGCCAAGCTTACCTCTTCCTCTTCATTTGGCATTGTTACTACGCAACTTGAAAAAAAAAAAAGACAAAATTAAAATTTAGAATAAGGTCCACATTTCAGTTAAAGTTGACGGTTACAAGTCTCGGATGAGCCAATGGAAAAGTACCGTAACGAATGCATCCCC